GTGTGTGTGTGTGTGTGTGTGTGTGTGTGTGTGTGTGTGTGTGTGTGTGTGTGCACGGACATTCAGTAGGTTGCGTCTTTGGTTTCTGTTTCCTCCGAGTGCAGTTAAACAAAACCCCGGTGAAGGTACACAGTCAATTTCAACAAAGCCACATAACAAGCTGACAGTCTCATTTGATCTATGTTTACTATTGTTTGCATATAAACATGTATACATATATTTACATGTAGGGTTTACTCTTTTTGTTATATTTTAAAATGCATGAGCTCTAACAGGAATTCAATCAAAAGGGTGGCATTATTGTAAACAGTTTTTTTTTTTAAATCTTTCTTTCAAAAACCAATAATAAGATGAGATGGAGCTTTATTAACCCCCGTGGGGAAATGGGGTCGTTTAAACAGCAACAGGGTGAGAATGAAAAACAGGAGAGCACAGATTCACACAGATTAGAGATGAATAAAATGAAAGATAAAATGAAAGTGATATACAGTTAAGTAGCTTTAAAATAAGAAATGAATTAAAATGAACATATATACATTCATCATGCATTAGTCGATCTGCTAACAACTAAAAACTAAAAAGTACTCATGATGGTGGCCTGTTTTCCTCTTGAGATATATGTTACCCAGCTCCTTTTCTGGATATACATGTCTCAGACAAAGTAAAACATTACAATAGAGTGAAATGAAAACAGGAATAAAAGCATTTGTTGGAATAATGCAAAAATAAACATTTAGTGCGTTAGGGAGTATTTACAGCAGCAGGACAGTGTCTCAGGGACTGACTCAAAATAAACTAAACTGCCTTTGTTGATCCTAATCAAAGCAGATAAAAGCTCATTGATGTGTTTTTAATAGTTTTTTGACAACTAAGGAACTGTATGGCACAGAGGGACTGGATATATCAGACTATTTCAACACAGACGGCGATATCACTTTTCTTTTCATGGGATTTGTTGGAAATTAGACAATGTTTTGCAACCCTCGTCGTTAAAAAGATGGGTTGTGTCGTAGGGATTTAAGCGGTGCTTCAAACTTAGAATAAGAGTTATCTGTACAGTATGATGGGAACACTTTTAACCGGCAAACTTTTAATAAGTGGTAGCTAATAGAGCTGGGAGTTGCCCCAAAAATGTAGTCAGAGAATTTAAAACATGTTACACAATCATTTCCTGATGGAATTTAAGCCTGGTTATAATTAATGTTTAAAGGGGACAACTGCTGTTACAATATACTGTTGTGTAGCAAAAGCTATTCCCTTTTTCTGTATTATATAAATACAAAATACTCTTGGTTACCGCATGTTGCTACGAAGCAATGCCCTAGTAGCAGAGTATTTTCACCGTCGATCAATAAACGTACTCTTAACTCCCCTCCACCCTGATACTCGGGCACAATATATTACTCTAATAAAGGAGGTGCTGCAGAGTGTTGGAGGTAATGTGTGGTGTGCTGCTCCTGAACAAATGACGTAATGATGATACCGTATCGGAGAGGGAGCTTTTTACTGCTCGGTGAACTATTTTTACAGCGTGATGGTCAACATTATGCTCACATAATGCTGGCCCTGCAATGTGTAAATACAGCCACGTTTTCACCTTTGCCCATCTGGTACAAACAAAGCAGAGTAAGACCAAGACATAGAACATATTATGATATATTGTTTGACCAAAATCTCTCATCTGTGCACAAGGAAAATGGATTTGTACCGTCAGCAGTGTGGAAAAAGCTTACATCTACAAAATAGCAGCGTCCTGGGAATTGAAGCGTTCTGATTGATTTTACACAAAATATTTTTTGTCAGAGTATTTTCACAATAATTTGGATTTATCATGAATAACACGTGCTCTGCAGCTGGAGGGAAATATAACCTGGTTATTCTGTTAAAAGGGTACAACTGCATCTTCCCTTAGGAGAACAGACCATTATCCTGAAGAATGGCCAGTGTGCAAACTGCAGACTCACACACACACACACACACACACACACACACACACACACACACACACACACACACACACACACACACACACACACACACACACACACACACACACACACACACACACACACACACACACAAGGCCCTCGTTAAAAGCGTCTCAGCAACATGTTACAGCGCTAATGCATCTTTTCCAGGCTCTGCCACAGCTAATGTGTGCTCTGAATGTGGCATTTGCCTCCACGGGGGTTATTAACGCGGCACTGCCCTATGCTGGTGCGTCTTCCATGTGTTGGCTGTAGGATTATGGAGCGCAAAAAGCATGAAAGTTCACGGCTGAATAATTGATAGTGCGTCGGATGGGTCACAGGGTGGCAGCGAGGATGAGGAGGTGGAGGTTGAAGGCAAATGCCAGGCGATGATCACTACACTCACCTCAGCCTGTGAGGGCTTGTTAGCTGCTGTATCTGAATAGCTCTCTACATGGACATATCCAGATAATGAGATTTGGGTAATGAACCAGAGTTATATAATAGTCATATTCCATTGCCTAACTAGGGAGCATTTTTAATTTAGACTGGAGAAATAATGGTCTTCTTCTCAATTTCTGCAATAAGTAATTCTCAAAGGGAACTTTAATACTGACATAACATTGCAATTAAAGCGCTTGAACAGGAACTAAAGAAACATGAAATAGTAGTCAATAATCCAAATCCTGCTGTGTTGAAAATAGGAAAGTATTGTTCTTAGATGAGCTGTTAACCTTTATGTGTATCATCCTGAAGGATTCATCGATCTCAACAGTGGTGGCAGAATGCGTCTTAAACAAGTTTATTCTAGAAAAGCACTGTGATCTGTCTGTTTTAACTAGGCTTAAATGTCACTGTGCCTGTCTCTATGTGCGTGCTTGTTTTTGTCAGAATGTGTGAGCGCACGGTCTCATCTCTTTGTGTGTCAGAGTAGGGACTGTGCTGGGTGCGAACAGAGGGTGTGAACAGGTGTGCAGGAGCACTCCGTCTCTAATCTACAATAACTCCATCACAGGTTCCCGAAATGAAATGGAGTAAAATCAGCCATGATTGATACGGCCTGCCACGTTTTTTCGCTGATTTCTCAAAGCTGCTTCTGTAGCATTTTATAGACTTGGCGGTGGGGAGGAGGAGGAAGAGGAGAATTAGCAGAGGTGGTTACAGAGCAGTTGCTCAGCGCTCCTGTGTGCTGGGCCAGTAAGCAAGTTATTGATTTGAAGGTCAAACAGCATCTAGCTATCTATGGTAGAACCAGGCTGAAGGTTACCTGTGACTAGTTTCAGCAGCATTTAAATGATTATACTTGACCGTGGGGTCCTGAGAGGGGAATCTGTATTGACAACATTTTCAAATGAGATGGGGGATGAGGGGGGAACGGTGCTCACTTAGGAGGCAGGAAGTATCTAACCATTTAATGTCATTGTTGAAGCCTGTCATCTTTGTTTCTACAACTTTGGGATAGGTTGCAATGGCATATGGCTCACACATTAATGTTACCTTAAGAATGGATTTGTTGATTATTTAACTTCTCTAGTGCCATCTTTAGGTCAAATTAAAAATATTCCCAATAGTTTGATATATGGCCAAATACCTGAAAAAAATATAATTACCAACCCACAAAACTAAGATGTTGAACATGCATCAACATCAGTTGACTGATAAGACTATTACATGTTATACAGTTGTCACATCATTGTATTAATCAATATCAGAAAATACTCATCAATGCTGTGGTTTAGATTTCACCATTATTTCCAAATCCTACCTTAACCTGCAAAGGAACAAATCGATGCTCACTTGGAGAAAACAAATCTAAATCAGGTTGTTTATAAGTGGTTAAAAACAAGGTAACGTCACTGTTATTTAGCCTCATGTAACCGGTGCATGGAGCAGGCTCTGCAAGTGCTGCTAGTATAAGATGCCAAATACAAAGACAGAAATGTGACAAAATGGGGTTCTGTGGCACTCGGATGGGTAAAACTGTTTTTAGTTAAGCGCAGCGTGTAACTCATTAGAACATCTTTGAGGAGATTTTGCCCAGAGCCCCTCCCAACCACCCTCCTCTTTGTTCCCCCTCATCTCTCTCTTCTCTCTCTCTCTCATCAATACCGGCATTTCCAGACTTCTCTCTCTCTCTCTCTCTCTCTCTCTCTCTCTCTCTCTCTCTCTCTCTCTCAATACCCATTTCAGACTCTCTCTCTCTCTCTCTCAACTCCCTCTCTCACACACACTGTCAGCCTGCCGGTGCTGCAGTGGATCAGACGCAGAGCTCGGCGCGCCTGCTTTTCCGCGGCATATCGTCTCATCTGTTGGAATACGGCTGCGTTAAAAGGGGGAGATGCTGCCTGCTATTCCCGCTGCTTCAGCTCTCCCTCCACACTCCAGTTGATGCATTATTTTTGAGAGCTACTGCTCCAAATCAACACTCATTTGACCCGGTTGACGTGTTCGCGACGACTCCAGCGTCTAATCCGCGCGTCCTTTTTTTCGCGTAAAACTCGTGAGGAAGGGATGCGCCGTCCAACATTCATGATTGAATAAAGGCAGAAATCGATACGTTAGTTTATATGTGGGATTGCATAGATATGAGTTGGACCGCAGGATTGAAAACTTGACAGAAGAGCGTCTCGGAGCCGGGCTGTAGCGTGTCCTCACATGGTGGCTAGTAAAGGCTGACTGAACTGTGTTTGACTTTGTCCCGAAAATATCCAGCATGCCATGCTGTCAAATGAACCATGCAATACTCAGAATTATACGCCAACCTTATAGATTAATCGTTTCGCTAAACACTTGCAATTAAAAGTAAATCGTTGGCTCACATCATATCTGCAAAACTCAACGTTGAACCCAACTCAATTCTGCGTAAAGGTGCCGGACACGTGTTGAGTTCACTTGCACTTTAGTTCTCACATGAAATAAGATTGTCTCGGTTGTATCGCTGCAGCACCGGTTCATCTCACCTTGAATCATGCCGGTGATGTGGAGAAGTCCGCCGCGGGTAACTCGCACAGCCCGCGGGCAGGCAGTGTTCCTCCTTCGGGCATCTCTCATCGTCCTTCTCCTCCTCTGGCCACGGCCCTCCGCAGGCAAGAAGAAGCTGTACATCGGAGCGCTGTTCCCCATGAGCGGAGGCTGGCCCGGCGGGCAGGCGTGTATGCCCTCCGCTCAGATGGCCCTGGACCTGGTGAACAACCGGAGCGACATCCTGCCAGACTACGAACTGGAGCTCATCCACTACGACAGCATGGTGAGTGCATGTGGAGGAGAGTCAGAGGAGGTGCGCACTTAAGTGATGTGTGGTGTCATCCAGTGGGATCTAATCATCTGCCCCTCACATTACATCTTACTCTTTCTTTGTACTGCTGGATATCATTTTTCCTCACATTTTCATTTTGATGCTTTCTTTTGAAACCATGATATCTGAAATGATTATATTCTCCACCCTGGTTTTTCTCAAATGCCACTTTGCCAAAACAACAGGACGGGCTCCCTTTTAATTTTTTCAAGGAACACCTTTTCCCAAGTCACAGATCTCAAGAGCAGCTTTCCTAACATTACATTACATGTTACATGTTAGACGCTTTTATCCTAAGCGACTTACCTACTCAATACTGTGGGCAATCCTCACAGGAGCAATTTGGGGTGAAGTGTCTAGCCTAGGACACAATGACATGCTGACTGCAGTGGGGATTGAACCTGTGCTCCCCTGATCCGAACACCAACGCACTAACCCACTGCGCCACACACCTCATAAAAAGGTCACCCTGCTGATAACTAACCCTCAATCCCCCCTCGGCTTCACAAAGGGGGGGCTGCCATGCCGTGTACAGGGCTGGCTTAGTGCTAAATGAACAAACACACCTCCTGCTTGTTGCTCATTAATCATTAATCATGGTGGTATTTTAAAATGTCAGCATTATCAGCCATAAATCCAATATCCGCCCCCTGACTGGTTTCATTTCCCCTCACTGCCCCATAATACCACCCACTATATACTGACATTTAATCAAAAAGCACATTATTTATCTTAGTGAAGCTGCCTGTCCTCATTCTTATTCTGAAAGTTTTCCCCTAAAAAAGAAACCATTCTGCTCAACACCAGGATGAGTGGAGACGCATGAAAACAATTACTGGAGATCCCCCCTGTCTCCCCTCTCGAGGGTTATTATCAATCATGCTGCAGGACAGGAGCCTGGAGGGTGGCAGAAGCACCAAACAGTTAACTGTACTGGGACTGGTTAGAAATCTGCTACCAGCTTTATTCTGATTGGTGTACAAGGCTCTGCATTGGAATCCTGTTAAACAGAATAGCAGGGAGAGAGAGCAAGTGTGTGTGTGTGTGTGTGTGTGTGTGTGTGTGTGTGTGTGTGTGTGTGTGTGTGTGTGTCCTGATTACAAGTGTACTGAAGCAGGCAGCTGCAGATATAGCTGCCATAAACATAAAGATAAAGAAATGGCATGAACAGATTTCATAGGGATTGGGAAACATCACTCCTCGCGCTTCAGGAGGCAGTGGCGCCTCCGGCTCGATAAATAGATGCAGATCCTTTGAATAGAACAGCTCAAAGAGGCTGGTACAACATTGTGAGAGTGACGCTGGTTAATTCCTTGAATTAAGTCAAGGGGGAATGCATTGCTCCCGCACTGGCTACAGTGTGTTTGGAATGGTTATTATTTTTTTAGCTTCTCATTGCAAACACTTTTCACCTGGCTGGAATAGTAATGAGGATCTTACTGTCTGAGAGGCAGAAAAGCAATTAGTAGAATAGGGATTAATTAGCTATGATATTTACATGCAGTTAATACGTCTCATTCCTTTGGAGTTGGTCACCTTGGGAGCCCAACTCTTTGTTTGACTGTGAGATTAAGACAAGGGCGTAACTGGCCCTTTGTTTGCTTGCATCTCAATATCAAGGTTGGAGGAGCGTAATTATGCAGGAGGAACTTTTATTCGTCTTTAAAGTCTATCAGTAATATTAAATACAACAAAGGCATTCAAGTTTGACATAGATTTAGGCAAACGGTCGCCTTTTAACACACATTCTCACACCAGTTCTTCACTATTTAGGGTTGGAGGATCAAGCGATGTCCTCAGCTTGTTCAACATCATACAATATTCATGAATCTCAAAGCTTAATCCCAGCCTGTCCCTTTAATGGATGCAGATACCCTGTGGTAGCAGAACGGCTTGTTTCTCTGGCTATTCTGGCGACAGCATCAGACTATTTACAGCCTTCTGAGATCCACACACACACACACACACACACACACACACACACACACGGCAGAAACACGGCACACACACACGGACAGACGCATACACACACATACAGTTCTGCAGACACACACTCTCTGCGCAGGCCGTTGCCATGGATATATCAAAGCCGAGACTGCAAACTTTGATAAATTATTAACAGTGATGGAGTGAGACAGTGGAGATACAGCGAAATGGTGAAACAAGGTGCTTCCCTCACTTCCACCCTTTATTTTAATTGGCAGCCGTGACACTGTTTCCCTATCCACTGTGGCATAACCAGTATTCATCACTGGCCCTCCTCATGCATGTCATGCACTGGCATACAGACCTGGAATTGGGTGCCAGTCGTAATTATGAGGAAATGATGAGATGTAGCTGCACATGCTTTGAGATTCAATGCATAGGATGTCCCCCAGGCCCCTCTATTATCCCCTCACCACACTCTTTTATATTATTCTATCTGTAGTGTAATTAGAGAGTGTATCATGACGAGCCAGTGTCTTCTCCCTCTTCCCCGAGCCCAGGGCACCTTCACTGTCTTTCAAAGGTTCTCGCAAACAGGGTTTTACTGATTGGAAAGGCTGCATAGGCATGTTAACATCAACACTGATATTGGCTCGGGGAATTTCAGCACCAAGGACAGCAACAAAAGCGGTTTTGTATCACATGTGTGTACGTGTAGCTGTATGAGGGCTTTTTGTATGACCATGTACACACACTTGCACTAATCGGTGTGTGTGTGTGTGTGTGTGTGTGTGTGTGTGTGTGTGTGTGTGTGTGTGTGTGTGTGTGTGTGTGTGTGTGTGTGTGTGTGTGAATGACAACGGGGGCCATCAATCGAGGCACTCTCATGAGCCAAGGAGGGCTAAAAAATGAAAGTGAAAATGGTGATGACTCCAGGGGGCTGTAGAAGACCTCCAAGAATAGCAGAGATTTCTCAACCTTTATGGCATACCTGACAACACGCCTGTTTGCTCTCTTTTTTTTCTTTCTTAAGGGAGCCCGTGTGCTTTTTTATCCTTTACTTCACCGTGTTCCCTTTGTGTAACCACAAGGTTTCATTTCTTTTTAGCCATAGATGCTCTTCAATGATTAAAAGGTTCAGATATGGAGGCTGATTGTGTTGTGTCCAAGAAAAGGCCTTCGATATTTATAACTGAGAGGGATCAAACTACTGAATCAATTCCTTGAACCAACAAAGTCAAGCATAAGCTGTTGCTTTTGTATGCCTTACATACCTTTTTCATAATCTTGCATTTGAGGGACATTTGGTCCCTTAGGTTCAATCGTACTTAAAGGTGGGGTAGGTAAGTTTGAGAAACCGGCTCGAGATACACTTTTTGTTATATTCCATGGAATGCTCTTAACATTCCGATAGCAATGAATATCTGAAGTGCTTTGACAAAAAATACATGTTAGGGTTAGGCCCGGCTAAAATAACTGGATGGCCTACCTGCCTGTCAGCCTTCCATCTGTGCACAAACTTATCTCGTGCCCTCATTGGTCATGTGTGCGTTCCTGTGTGTTGGAGGAGGGGCTCTGTAAGGAAGTGGCAGATTTGTTCCGCCTGTGTATTTTCTAATTCTAGCGCACTCGAGCTGGTTTCTCCAAAATTACCTACCCCACCTTTAAGACAGTAGATTTATTGAATATGTGAATATTGAAGGTGATCTAAGGATGTTAATCCACTAGTTGCGGTTTGTCTAATTGACCTGCCTGTATTGATATTTAAGTATTATACATGGTTGCCAATTTTGATACTATGTAGAAAATAATATGAATTAAACAACAAGGTCATTTTCTTGGTGAAAGTACTTAACTTACCTTTAAGAGGTCAGAATATTCACATCTTTAATGCCCTTACTGGAGAGGTTACATATTGGGTTTGTTTGTTGGTCTGTATGTCAGTATGCTTACATAGAAATCACTGGCCTGGTATAATAAAAGTGTGGATGAGTGACGCATGGACCAAGAAAAAAACCATTACATTCTGGAGTGGATGCAAACCATGGGATGGATACACTAATTATTGTTCACTTGTGAGGTAGAGCATGGCCGTGGCAAATGTCTGCAATCTCCAAGTGCTTTTCTAATTTAATTCTAATTTCTAAACATGTTATACGCAGCTAGTAATTTGTAAAATGTAAGCAAGTAAGTTGTTATTAAAACCTGTGAGGTTGGATGGTAATAACAGATATGATTAAATAATTCAAAGATAATCAGCGTAGATGATGAATTACAGCTCATCAGGGTATAGTTTAAAAAAATAAAAAACGAGGCTAACAAGCTTCTTCTCAGCATGCAGCCAGCTCTCAGCCGCAGGTTCAGTGAATACAACCTCATCCTTAAACAACCTTCGGGAAAGACAGTATTTAAAATGAAAAAAAGAAGCTTTATGCATCACATGATTAGTTAACAAAGCAATTTGTTTTTATTAGGAACAGGCTGATTGTACCGAGAGGAGGAAGGGATCTGTGAAATCAGCTGCTCTAGTGATTGATTGCCGGAAGGAGAACCTGCAGTCCCTCGGCCCCACATGGTGACACACTGAATTAGTATTTTGCAGACATGCACTCCAAAACCCCTTAGGACGATATTAAGATAATTTGATGTCGTCAAATAAGGAAATTCATGTACGTAATCGTTTAGAGACAAATATGTGGTTGGCGTTATGTTAAAACAAACGATCTAGCTCAACATTTGGGGCGCTCTTTTGTCTGCTTGACGGCACTGGAGTATTTTTGAGACCCTTATCTAATGATACATATTGTTATTGACCACATTCATGTAACTTTTGACATTACTGCCGATCATTAAGTTCTACATATGACTAGTTTCCTGTTAGAGGTTAATAGTTGTTTTGTCATTAAAGTGATAAGAAAATAAATCTTTAAAAAGGTGTAAAAACATTCACAGAAAATTCTTCTACTCATCTAATTATTTGTCATTTTCTGTCCAATTAACCAAATCTCTGTCCATTACCTGCCATCAAACCGTTGAGATTCATTCTTCATTTTGGAAATACACAACTGGGACCTAACACATTTTTTACTCGAGGTGTTCTTCAAGCTCTTTTCTAAAACGTTCAAGTGTGTCCACTGTTCTTTTAAATGTCCTTTTCAGGGAACCCCACTGATATCAGAAATTGAAATCTAAAGGTATGAAGAGCTGCACCCTCCTCATCTTTGCTTGAAGCTTGAGGCTATAGCTGCTACTATGCCAACATAACACAGCAACTCAACTGAACTGTCACTAGATGAGTTGAATTGTGGGTAATGTAGGCACCAGGTTTTGACAAGAAAGAAGAATGCTTCTAATAAAAGATATCTCTGATTCTGCTGCTCGGTTTTGATCTTTTTGTGAAACCATCCATCGTGAGTCTTACTATTCAATAGCAATGCTTAATCCCCTGCTTTTTTAAGACAATGATACTTGCTCTGGTGTCAGCTAGTAAGTGGTGCTTGAGGTTATAATGACATGTAAGGACATTTTTACCGGCCTCACCCCCCCTCTACACCGAATCTAGCTTTAATCAATGTGCAATTATGTGCCATCAAATAACACGTAGCCACAAATAACTGCAAGCTTCAAAATATCCTTTCAGGAAATGTAAAAGATGGCAAGGAATTATTTATAAAGGCGCATTGGTGGATGGTTTGCAAAGTTCTTGTTTTTTAAAGTTATAAATTAGGGGCAGACGGCAGCAGAAGGTGTTGCTAAATTCCACACTTTGATATAACTCTGCTAGGAGAAATCCACCAACCTTTAGTGTCAAGGATTAATAAAGGAACGGAAGCAGGTTCCCTTCACAGTTAAAACTCTGCGATGCCCTTTTCTCCTGCAATGGTCCCCTCACAGTATTATCTCCCTCTGGGGGGGGGGGGGGGCTCGCTCCCGCTGAATCTGCGCCTATGCAGGAGCTGTTACAAATGCTGTGACCTTTTCTATAGTATACAGTGATCGCGCTGATGACATGAACAGTTAACACAAACATGTCCTAAAGGTCTTTATGTGGTCTTAGAAATAAAAGTACGTTGAGCCGAATTTCCCAGTTGGATTCGGACTAATAAAGAAAACCGTAAGGGTAGAAAGTCAGCAGTCAGAGCTCTCCTTTAATTGGGTTCAGATTGAATTATCTATGTGCATGACAACATCCTCACTTTTCTCCGCGATGACATGACACCCCTATAATTCAACCCAATCTAGAATGAATGGAAAACACATCAATCAATAAGAAGGGCAGCTATTCCCCACATTCCCTGCTGGTGATTACCTCTTCACAGAGACCATTCAGACGCTCAGACAAACACCCCAATTAGGAGCCATATTGGTCGCCGCCATCATCGGCCGCGGTCCGATTGTTTGTGACACTCATCTGGAGTGTATTTCTGACCATGTGCGTGTTTTTGTTTGCGAGCCACATCTTCTCTTCCATGGTGAATCATTAGATGTGTCAGGCCAGTTTATCAGTGACTCTGATGAGCGTTGCGGCGGTGACGGCCTGTCGGTAATCTGGCCGGCAGAGCTGTGATGGATCATTCCAGCCGCACTCTCGCCACCTCGACGCGCTGCAAATGACTTTATTGGAGGCTTGTAATGACTTGTGATGTGCTGCTGTGGTGCTCCTCGGCTCTCTTCTGTCTGGCTCCGGCCTGCCTCTTCTGTTTTGATCATGGAGCAGCCTGTTGTGTTTCCATGATACATACTGGCTCTCGTGAACTCTGTGAACTTTTTTCATTTCTTCCTTCAGCTTATCTTTTCCCTTCACATTTGCATAATGTTTGTTTGCTGCTCTCTGCTTTTTTTGTGGTGCCATTTGCCTTTGCTTGATCTCAACCTTGTCTGTTTTATTTTCATTTCCCTTACTCATACTTTGTTTTGCCTTTTTATCTGTCTTTTCCTATCACATTGGCCTTTTAGTCGCTTCCTGCTACTTCTATGTCATTTCCCTTGACTTTATCTACTCTCCCCTATTTTCTTCTTTCTGTTAACAGCCCCCACCCCCCACAATCCATTCCTCATTTGCTCCAAACCCTCTGCTCTCATTCCATCTTTTTCTCTAACCCTTATCTGACCCATTTCCCTCGCTCTGACCCCCCCCCCCCCTTTTTCTCTCCCTCTTTCGATCACCTCCTGTAATTTCTCATCCTTTTGTATCGATCCGCCCATCCCGTCTGTTCATCCGTCCGTCCATTTAACACTCTGTCACTTTGTCCTTCCAGTGTGACCCAGGAGAAGCCACCAAGTTGCTGTATGACCTTCTGTACACCGAGCCCATCAAGATCGTGCTGATGCCCGGCTGCAGCGGCGTCTCCACGCTGGTGGCCGAGGCTGCTCGCATGTGGAACCTCATAGTGGTGAGTGTCCTTCACTGTTTGTACCTAAGTGCACACTTTCTGCACATTTTCACCCTCCCCTGAGATTTTCAATTTGTGAAGGCGGGGGGGCTTTGGGAGAGACGTGACCTGCAACTCCAACATGTGTGTTCCTTCTCATGGCTTATAAATATATCTCAACAAATATCTTTGAATCCAATTAAATATCACAGAAAGCAGATGGCCCTCATAACTCCAGAACATTTGCAAGTTTCCCCACTATTAAAGTACTCCAGTGATAGTTGTCCGTGTACACATGAGTACATTGCAAACAGGAATTCCCACTAGCGTATTCGGCATACTTTTAGTGGCACCTCCACTGAAAAAACTGAAACGTTGACTTTAATTAAATGTATTATGTCAACAGATTTCACATAACTGGCAGAGTTTAAATACAACATTCAACTTAATATTATTGCTTTCAACTAACATAATACCGTTATGTGACATCTGTTTATATAATACACTTAAGTAAAGTCAACGTTTCAGTTAAATATAGGCTATGTAGGGGCGGGGGGCTTCATTGCCAAGTATGGAAAAAAACGTTTTTAACCCATCTGCACCGCTTTAAACCATTGCCAAAAAATGCATCAGTTTAAAGCGTCTGCTCACTTTGACTGCAAAGGAAGAAGACCCATTTTCTCAATTACCTCTGGTGGGATCCAATTATGCAGATAGTTTTGGTTTAGTGGGTTCAGTTTCTGAGATATCCATTAGAGATGTCAGCCGCTACACCGACAACAATACCTGTGAATGGAATTTTGTTTGTGGGATTTACAGCATTGAGAAATGACATTTAAAAAAAAATCTGCCGCAACATCTTTTTCCAGTATCCCTGTTGCTCTGGAAAATCCACAGAGCACACTGTCAACAGTTTTCATAGGGACTATTTCTTTAGCAGAAAATTGACAATGACAGGCTTGTCACAGCAAGGTCGGTTGCTTCACCTCCACTGTATTTAGTTTGAGGTTGAAAAAGAGTGATGTGTCAAAACCTGAACACATAAACATGACAACATCCTGCATGGTAGCTCTGGATGAATGCACACATTTAGACTCTTTGGTCCAAAGCAACTTAAATAACGGCACTGAGCCTCCGCAGGGATCAAGAGCGAGATTACTAACAAACAGCTAAGAAGACAACGTTGCTTCTCATCCCATGTCCTTGTCTCTGTGCTGTCCTTGACTAAAGTCTTCTAGAGAAGCATTTCAACAAATGACAAACAAAACGTGACATCTAAATCTTTAACTATGTTGGCTTGTCCTTCTGTTTAAAAGTAGTCTTTTTTGTGCAATATACAATGTATTTAAGAGATGGTTGAGAGCAGACATGCATCTAAATCATGATCCCTTGTACATGTGATCATTAGGTTCCCCAAATCAATGCTGTAGTTGTTTATTGATTTTGAAGTATTTCACACTGCACTTTAAATCAATCAGCGATGACACTTTACACGGCAGCTCCACAATACTGCACTGACAGCAGCACCACATTCAGGACAAAGCATATTGTTTGACACCACATACTGCATAATAATTCATTTATAATAAATACAAACACATCCCAGATCAGCAAGAGATGTCTTCTGCTGCCGTCATTTTTTCAAACACTGCCTCTTTTTATGCCTTTACGCCACTTATTTCATTTAGTTGATCTCATTCTCTGTTTTCTCTTGATCTGCCTCTCTGTCACTCACAGTGCTCTGCTTATTAGCTTTGTCCTATAATTGAAGTTTCATCTAGAGATTAGTCATCGGGAACAATCAGTTGTAGTGGTTGGCATCTGCCCCTCTTTCTGGTTTCTGTTCTCGTTGTCACCCTTTCTTTCCTCGTCATTAAAAATTCTTTTCCACATCTTGCCTCCTTCTTGTCCCTGTCTTTCCGTCGCTGCCTGGAGCTGGCCTTCTCTATTATAACAGATCCTTTTTCCTTCTTTCTTTCCTTCCTTCCTCCTTTCCATGTCTGCCGTCTTTTCTCTCCCGCTCTTCATTTCCGCCTCGTTCCGTCAACTCGAGCAGTCGATTCTCCCCACACACAAAGGGATTCGTCTCTCTTTACTACACGCCACCACTGGCACAACCTCCTAACCGCCACACTCAATTATTTTTGGTACGCTGCCTGCCTGCAGAAGCTTCCTTGCATGTCAAACAGCCTCATCAGGGCGCTGGGGAGGCAAAAGCAACCTCCGTTTCTGGACGCTGATCAAGAAGTGGCTGTCAATCGGCTTCTCTTGGGAAACTGTTAATTTGATCTTTTTATAAAAGCAATGTAAGCCAAAGACATGCATTGATGTACAAGGCTACTGGAGAACGCTGAGAATCAAGAGATATTGTTTGTCGTTTTTTGCGAAGCTTCAATGGGGAACTTTTTCAGTTGCAGAGTGCTGCTAACATCCGTCTACTTCTGCTGCAGAAGCTTTTGTTCCGTTATATTTTTGTCACCGTTGTTGTGTCTGGTAAAGTTTTATTTGAGCGTTAACACGGGGAAAATGCGCACAGCTCTTTGTATGTTGGTGAAAAGGAGTTTTTGACATAAAGTTATTCAAATCTACAGGTTCGCTGCTAATACAAGCCTTTTGAAAAACAAGATTGGAAAAAAAGGCACCTCAGATTTTCTAAGATGTCAAATGGTTTACTTGAAATGCTTTGTTGCAGAATGTAACCCAAATTACACATTTATTTTTTTATTTGGTTCTTGATATTAGCCTCTGAGATCTGTGCCTCCACTTACAATCGAGTTGATTGCGATTTCAATTGTGGCGCTTACCGCATTGAACGATTCCGTTTATAATGCCAAACAATCACTGTGTCAAAAATCAACCTCTTGTTCAATCTTTCATTACAAACCTTTAATAGACATTCAATCATTTACTCTATAGGAAGCAGGAAACTGAAATGGTTAACACTATGCTTGACTACTAATTTGATTCGAGTTATAGATTGTTACCATAGCAGTTTGCTTGGTACTCATGGACATTTTTCTATTTTCATTTAATTATAGTCATTTTTGAGGGTACCTCTACTCTGTATATGGCGCAGAGTATATATAGTATATTGCTAAACTATAACTATTGTAATTCTTATCATTTTAGCATGCTATGTGCAGCCTCACAGAGCTGTTATAGTGGCAGTAAAATAATAAGCAAAGTTCCATCTACATGCTCTGAATAAATCCATCTATGGTGCTAAAGATTATTTACAGCAAAACAATGGGGTGTGTGTGTGTGTGTGTGTGTGTGTGTGTGTGTGTGTGTGTGTGTGTGTGTGTGTGTGTGTGTGTGTGTGTGTGTGTGTGTGTGTGTGTGTGTGTGTGTGACTGTGTGTGTGTGTGTGGGATAGACTCAAAATAAACTACAATGGCTGTGAACACGTCACCCAGTGCAGTGGTGTGTCCCATTGATAATGTGTTTTTAGACAACAATGCAGCTGTCACACGGATACTTTTGTTTTTGGAAAATGTTCTCCCTGTTTCTGTGTTTTTGCCATTACCGTCCTTTCATGTTAGATTCCTCTCGTTGCCCACCTGCCCTCTACGAGATCCCGCCAGTCAGCTCTTCCATACTGTATAACCTCATTATCCTCCTTCTTGCCCAGTCATTTGCCGGATCATCTCATGTTCTTCCCAGTCTTCCTTCCTTCCTTCCTGGTTTCACCTTCCCTGACATCTCCTCTCTCACAGGCAGCCTGCAGGAAACACATAACATATGCTGACCATTCGCAAATTGGCCGCTGCAACACTACGCTTCCACTATAATCAATGAAGCTGGCTACACCATGCGTGAGAGCAGTGCGTGAGTGGTGCTAATGCGCCACCCAGATCTGCTCTACAGGCATAAAAATAGGCCAGTCACCTATTTATTTTGTTCACGCTAGGTGTGCACAGAAATGGGTCAAAATCTCAATATTTATGTATTTCTTTTTGTTAAACTTGATCTGCCTTTTGCCATTTATTTTGCTAGCACCAGCTGGCAATTCCTCTGCAAATCGGTCCCTTACTTAGATTACTGCAGTCTGTAGATTCAAGATTCATAGGTTTTATTGTCTTATGCACACAGTGTAGAAATGGCAATGAAAGTCTTCTGACATGAGCTCCTCCAACAATGCAACATATAATAAAATGCAAAAAAATGGTGCAAGAAGTCTATATACATGTAAATAGAATATGATATGTACAAGAACAGAATATGAAATTGAATAATGTTCATTAAGACAAAATTAAATACGGTGTAGAAGTTAACCTACCCATATTACAGAAACTTGGTGAAAAATACTCTTTATAATTAACCTTATTTATGTGCTGGCTCACAGCCAACTGTGCTTCCTCCACAGACTGAATGAACAATCCAACAGAATGTCCAAAGCAGTGTCTGTGTCTCACACAACCCTGTACGTGCTCCATGTGCAACCAGTCAAAAGACACTTTTCTACGGTGCATCCATGACATCTTCAAAGCGTTAGTTTTCCCTTGCTGACTTATTATCTATTGCAAAACTATAGCACGGGGAAATAACCGATGAAGCTTTTTTTCTACTAAGGAAATACTTGTTAATAGCATCAATTCATTGCTGGTTTTGATCGTTTTGTGTAACTAAAATATAAAAAATAACCTTCAAAATTAACTTCCCTGCGTATTCTCAAGTATGTTATAAGCCCCTTTCGTATTTATTACTGAGCATATGTCAGACAAAGAAGACCGTTTGATGCTGTGCCCAGATCAGCTGTCACTTCCTCTATATTTTACCTCCCATTGTATCGATGCCTCCGTCTACCTCTCTTCCCACAGGAATTAATAATTGTGGTCCACCTTTGACATGACATTTGTCATCTAACGTCAAGCCCCCTCTCGCTCCCATTGGTGAACATCCCAGGGCTTTGTGGGTAATGGGGCTGATATGACACCTGGAGAGGAGGCTGTACTCTCTGTAATGGCTCCCTAAACTCCAGGGTTCTGTTTTAAAGGATGAGGATTTCATCTCCAGTTGTCACTATGAAACGAATTGTTAGAAGAACAAGCCTTCTCCCTGTTTGTGTCTTCATTTTCATCATCCCTCATCCCACACACATCTTAGCTGTATGCGTCTTGTGGGAATTAAAAGGATGTGGGTCCAAATGAAAGAAACAGATGATCAATCGTGCTACTGTTTGCAACAACAATAATTAGATCCTTCTTTTATTTGTTCTGTTTCTAATGGCAGAATGTGTCATCACAATTTCATGGCAATGTAGGCATGCAAAACCCAGCAGGAAGTGTTTTATTTCTTATTGAAATTACAGTGTTTATCACCATACCTGATAAGCCGGAGGGGAGCTGAAAGGATGGAGCGGTTGGGGATGAAAATGAAAAATGGGAGCGGGGATTGTCTCCCTGATTCTCTGTCTCTATGCTGGCTTTCCTCTGTGTTGTTTTCTGTTTGAACCATTCGCCTTCAAAGAACACTGTGTACAGGCGAGGAACAAGGACGTCCAGATTTGAATACATTTGGATTGAAGTCTGTTTAGTACCGATGCCTAGAATGACCCTTCAGAAGTATTTCCCCCCCCTAGACTTCTATATCCCTCCTGCCTGAGTCACTGTTTGCTTCTTATTCTATTCCTTTCTGTTTCCAGCTGTCCTACGGCTCCAGCTCGCCGGCGCTTTCCAACCGCCAGCGCTTCCCCACCTTCTTCCGCACACACCCGTCGGCCACCCTTCATAACCCCACCAGGGTGCGGCTTTTCCAGAAGTGGAAGTGGACCCGCATTGCCACCATCCAGCAGACCACCGAAGTCTTCACCTCAGTCAGTACCTTTTATATTCTATGTTGGGGAATAATTATTTAAACCTTTGACACAGTTCATCGTTTTCTCCTCTCACTGTCTCCTTTCCCATGGCATAAATCAAATCAAATCAAATCAAATCGAGTTTTATTTATATAGCACATTTATAAACGATTTTTGGTCGAGCCAAAGTGCTGTACATATAATAAAAATAGCCTACAGTAGAGACACTTTACAGCTAATACAATAGCACAGATTGGGTCTACGGCCTTGGGTATTGCTGCTATCTCTCTTTAGGAGGGGCAGCTTGGGCGCATTGTTGTTGCTAGTCTATGACAGAGCACAAGCTGCCAGGAGATAGTTTATTGTTCAGGAAGGTAGGTTTGCTGGCGTACATTATTTTCTATGGACAAGCTCTAGTTAGACTCAGGGTCCATATAGAGTGGCGAAGTCCCGCCCATCTACTTCCGCCCCATGGGACTCTATTTCGGAAAAATTATGTATTGAAGTCAATGGGGAGAGAAAGATTATCTTTCGATCCCGTTTGAATTGTGCCACGAATTACACATATGATGTTTGTCAATCTTAAAAAATAATTTCCATGTCAAAAAAGTAACAGTTTGTCGTAAAACTGTTAAAATAAAAGACTATGAAAAATACGCAACTAGAAAGACTACAAATCCCAGAATCCCGGTCCCGCATGCTGGCTCTTACGGAACCGGATAACTCCCCTTGTGTGTATGTACAGCTCTCAACATGCCCAGACTTGGAGTGATTTTCACCTCTTTTAATACTTTTCGCCTCATTCTGAAAGAAAGAAGTGAAATGTGCCAACGTGGTGACAGCCGTCTTGGTGTGTGGTGTGAGACGGGAGATGTAGTTCATTGAGCGTTTCACACAAAAAAAAGTGTTACTTAACAGTTTTACAACACATTTTTATTTTTTTGACTTGCAAAATGATCTTTTAAATTGACAAACATCATGTGTGTAATTCGTGGCACAATTCAAACGGGATCGAAAGGTAATCTTTCTCTCGCCATTGACTTCAATACATAATTTTTCCGAAATAAGGTCCCATGGAGCTCCACCGGAAAAGGAGGGACTTCGTCTTCAGTCTATAGAGCAAATCTGTTATGCAGGAAATACTGGTGAGTGATGTCTTTTTGGAAGCTTGAAATAACACAATAAAAATACACTTGGCTTTTCACACCTTTGGATCCTAAAGTGATGTTTGACAACTTTTGCTCCAGACCATAATCGTCTTCTTTAATCTCCTTTAAAATCTCCATTGTCACCTCCATAGACTGTTGGCCGCAGATCTCCACCATCAGATCCACAATCTCAACTCTCCCTGCCGTCTCTAATCTCTGATTTGAGAGAGATCCTAGAACCACCGACCTGGCTTTTTCTTCAAAATCAGGAAGGGTTGCTGGTCATTTATTTACGTGACCAGGTACTCTTGTTTCTGTGTGAGTCAAAAGCCTCATCATCACTGATTCAAAATCAGATTATCAACGACTTCTTAAAGGAAAGGTTGTTTTTTTTTACTCCTTGAGTCACAAAGAATCGAAAGTCTTTAATAATCGGGAGCCGTGTTCAACAACAGGAAAACGATATAAGCTATATAACTGCATGTAGAGAACACTTTCATTTACAAACTCCCACACAACTCGTGCAGTATAATCAAAGTCTTATTCATCCTCCTCTACAACGACGCAAGTGTAAGAAGGTCTTCCTATAGATGAAAGTAGGTTAGCCCGTCGATTCCGGGTGAAAAAGGTCGACCACCTAGTCTACACCTCTGACACCAGGGCGTCAACACCTACCACTGGGTACCTCCCAAATTACGCTGGATTGTCTTGAACTAAATCTACCTCTCTAAAGTCCTATAGAATTCTGAGTTTCCATCTCCTTCTTTTGATTTGACGATGTAGTTGTCTCTCAGTATCAGTACTCAAAAACATAAACAACGTTACGAAAACATAACCTCAAAAAATCTAAAATTCTTTTCAAGGGATGGTTTACGGTCAACAGACAAAATGTTAATTGAGGGGATCAAGAGGGGGGGGGGGGGTGGGGTGGGGGGAATTAAGACTTGTGTAAAACAAAAGAACGTAAGGGGTGAGACTCATTGATTTATTTTTGTAAATCTTTTGGAAAATACTTACTGTCATTTACCCCCGCACAAATATTGTCAAGTTAAACTAGTTTGTTGGATTGGAGATTTTGTGAAGACGTAGTTGTCAGAGTATTTGGGGAACGTGCACCTCATGGGCAGACACGGAACCTTACATATTTGTCCTTCAAATCCTTTACCGTACAAAATTCCCTTCATCACTCGAAGACGGTCCTATTTAACTTGAACTAAGATGACGTCCTCACACTCCTCAAACATTTATCTACAAAAATATCAAAAATCAATATGTCAATTTATTTTCAACAAGAGAACAATTGTAATCGAGGGATAAATTAGTTATGAAAAAAGACAAACAAAGAACCTCCTTAAAGTTCCATTGTTCCGTCCTCAGTAAGTAACTTTCCCAGTAAACACCCACATCACAAGGAATGTACCCAATTATAATACACTTGGAGAGTGAAGAAACCACTAACTAAACTTACTACGGTCGTACTTGGTATGAACCACATAAATTGTCAATTTAAATAAAGTATAATGCAATACAAAAAGTTTTCATTGAAGTTAGACTGATTAACAGGATCAGACAAAACTTAGTCAGCACAACAGTAAAAGAGAGTCCTCCTTGGCGAAGGAAGTGACTAGGTCTTAGCACTCCATTACAGGGGTAAGTGAGTAACACAGAAACTGAACTCTCTAGAACATTGTCAAAATATATTTAGGAGGAACAGAACTTGGTGACTGACTGCTTACTTTTTGTTCATTAAAAGAAAGAATGTGTAGGCCATTTTTTACCAGTCCGTTTTAACGTCGTCTCTTTCTCTAGAAACTTTGAGAACCGTCTTAAACTACTATACTTCGAGCTGTCTAAAGTCACCACGACGCTAGTGCTCGTATATGGGAGGAAAGGCAATACCTAATAAGGGTTAACCTGTCTTCACCGGAAGAGGTCGATCCCTAGTCTAACCACCTCTTGGACACCCAAGCGTCAGACACTCCACCTGGTCCCTCAAAAATTACCTGGACTGTCTTGCTAATCGCCTCTCTAATAGTCCTCCTGATAGATTCTGAGTTTCCATTCTCTTTCTTTTGTTTTTGACGATGTAGGTGCTTCCTCAAATAATCAGTCTCAAAAAACATAAACAACGTTACGAAAACATGTAAAAGATAAAAAAAAAAATTCCTTATTAAATGAATAATTACCTTAGGTGACAACGGCATGTTTAGTTTGTTACATCGTAAAGATACTAAATTCATTTAACCCCCGCTGGCCCGCACAAATTATTGCATTGTTGATATGATTTTGTTTGGAGTGCAAACTTTGTGAAAACGTAATTGCAGAGTATGAAACTTTACGCGAATGAGAAGACCTTGTATCTTCATCCACT